TAAGCATGGCACAGAAGGGTAGAAAGTAGAGGGACATGGTAGGCATGGTGAGCTTTAGTCTTTAACTTTTTCTTTTTTTTAGGGCTGAGGATGGAACCCAGGGCCTTGCCAACAGCAGGCAAGCGCTCGCTGCTAAGCTACCCTCCGAGGCCTTTTCAGTTTTTGAGACAGGGTCTTACTGAGTTGCCCAGGGTGGGCTCTAGCTTGCGATCCCTGCCTTCCAGAGTGCTGGGATTAGAGTTGTGCACCACTGCAGTGGGCTGGATGCTATTTTTTAATTTCACGAACATGAACGTGCTGTATACACACACATCTTTGTCGTGGCTTTTTAGTAACTGCTGGTCCACATTAGCACCATGGCTGCTTTGTTCTCACAATGACTCCACAGAAGGCCTTTTTGTCTGGGTGCACTGTGGTTTATCTACCACTTTAATATTACTGCATGTTTTGGATCATTTTTTTCTCTTTGCCATGATAGAGTTGCTGACCGTCCTTGTCCCAGTGTCCGCGTGTGGTTGAGGTGGAGAGACAGGCTTGGTTTGTGGAGGACTGGTGTCCAGCCAGGGCTGTGCACCTTGGCTTTGAGGAAATGATTTCCTTCTCTGTGCACTGAGGAGGTCTCTGCCTCTCCCTGTGCTGCCAGGGTCTGCAGTTTGTTATATGATCAGCCGTGGTCTGAAAATACGCGTGAAAAATACCAGAAGTGAGCAGACTACATTCATATAACTTGTTGTTGTATGTTGGTACAATTGTCTGTTTCTTGGTTTTTATTATTTTTTTTCTGGTACTGGGGATTGAACTCTGGTGTCCTTGCGCTTGTGCAGCAGGCAGCGAAACCACTGAGCTAAATCCCCGGCCCCATTTCTTGTTTTTTTTTGTTTTGTTTGTGTTTTGTGATACTAGGGATGGAACCCAGGGCCTTCACACTAAGTGACATTTTCACTCCTTTTTAAAATTTTTGGCCAGGGTCTCCCCAAGTAGCCAAGTTGCCCAGGCTGGGCTGGAACTTGGGATCCTCCTGCCTCAGCCTCCTGGAGTGCTGGAGTGACAGGCATGTGTGCCCCCATGCCCAGCTGTTCCATGTTATTTTCTCTCATGGTGCTGATGACGGAACAGGCCTGCACCCTGCCACTGAGCTGTACTCCAGCTGAGGTTTAATTTTTAACATTGGAAATTCCAGTTTAACCTGAGGTGTGACTTTCCCATGCTCTGGTTTTTATATCTTTTATTAATGCCATTAATCTCGAGCAGCATTTTTGACTCTGGCAAACCGGGCTTAACCTTGGGACCCTTGATGGAAATTCGGCCTGTGGGAGAGCCTGGACCAGCAGGTTGTGGGGCAAGGACACCCCAGCCCCAGCAAGGGGCTGTGCAGGCTCCTCCAGGCCTTCTCTGGACCTTTCTGAGAAGTTCTAGGGTGGACTTGAGGAGAGGGAGACAGCCTGACCGGCTTGTGGGTCATGATCTGGAACCAGCCCCAGCCAGCCTGGCCCATGCTTGTCCTCTGTCCCTGCCACATCCTGTCCTGTGTATGCCCCTCTGCACTTTGTTTGGCATGAGGGCCTTGCTGTGTAGCCCTCACAGGCGGGCCTTGAACTCACAGAATGGTGTGCTGCGCCATGCCCAGCTCTCCTGTGCAGTCTGGCCTGGAGGCATCCGTGTCGCCCAGGACCCCAGCTGCTGGCTGCTTGCTCTGCTCTTGGCCTGTCCTGCCTGGTGTGTGCAGGGCTGCCTGGCAGCTGTGAGGGCCTGGCAGGCTCCGCAGCCAGCTGCACCATTCCCCCGGGAATGAATCCCCAGTCTCAGAGTAGGAGATACAGGCCTGGCTGCTCCAAGCCACACCTGCCGCTCACTGTACCCCCAGTTTCCCTCCATCCTTCCTTCTGGGAGCCGAATCCAGGGCCTTTACACTGAGCCCCGTCCCTAGCCCCTTTGATGCTGAGGCAGGATCTTGCCAAGTTGCCCAGGCTGGGCTCAAACTTGCCCTCTTCCTGCGTCTGACAGGCGTATGCCACCATGCCCAGCTCTCCCAGCTGCCATCTCTGCTCATGTTCCCCTCCCTTCACTTCTTCTCTGCCGCCTGGCCTCTGTCTGAACGGGACGGAGTGTCTCCTGTGTCCAGTCGCTGGCTTGTCACACGGTCCCCTCCCGGGTCCAGGCTACAGTGATCCCTGTGCCCTTCTGTGTCCATGCAGTGGCTCTCCTGCCCTGCAGTCCTTGCCGCCCTTTGTCACTGTGAGGGCTGTCTGGTCTGTCATGTGGGCTGTGCGGTGGCCCTGTGCCCTGGGCTGTGGTCCCTGTACTTGGATCCTGTGGTGTTAGCTGGCGGGCATTGCGGTGATCACAGCTCCCCTGCTCAGCGGTGAGGTCCTCATGTTAGGGCCTCTCCTTGGGGGCCACTGCCCTCCAGGGGACACCGGGCTATCCTGGGGCCATCTGTGGTATCTGTGACCAGGGAGGGGAGCTCCTGGCATGGAACAGGAGGAGGCCGGGACGTTGCTAGTGCCCAGCACGCCCTGTCAGGCACAGTTCGAGGAGGTGCCTGCCTGGCATCTGTGTCCTGTTCATCCTCTTCGGGAGCCCTTTGATCTGCCACCACCCAGCTTCCTGGGAACAATGAACTCTGTCTTTAAAAAATTTGCACTGGGGGTCCAGCTTGGTGGCGGGTGCTTGCCCAGCACGCACAAGGGTCTAGGTTCATCCACAGTTCTGCAAAACACAAACAGGGAAGTTTGCTTTAGAGTAGTTTGAGTGGAAGGTGCAGAGTTCAGCTGTCACTGTGCCACCGTTGCCTCTGGCCCGAGTGGAGCGTCGGTCGCAGCCCTGGATGCTCTGTGGACCCAGCCTCTTCTCTCAGCCCGGCCTCCAGGTGGGCCTGGACCAGCGTGCAGTGCCTGCTCCCCGTGCTGGTGTCACACAGGGCTGTGTCATGCCCTGACTGCCCCATGGGACCCTCCTGGTCTCCCCCACTCCGGGTCCTGGTGGCTGCTGACCCTTCCTTGTCGCCATAGTTTCGCCTTCTCCAGACGCACAGGGGGAGTGACACAGCGTGGAACCTGGTCCCAGTGGCTCAGGGATGACACTCAGGACCTTGTGCTTGTAAGGCAGGCTCAGTACCACTGAGCTAAATCCCCGGCTCACTTTGTTATTTTTTGAGACAAGGTTTTGCTAAATTGCCCGGGCTGGGTTCACACTTGGAATCCTCCTGCGTCAGCCTTACAGAGTAGAGTGCTGGGTTGATGGGTGTGCACGACTACAGCCCCCTTTCTTCCTCTTTCTGAAAGCTGGCAGGGCGGCTCGTGTTCTCCAGTCGCCCACGTTCAGGAGTAGGTGGAGGGCATTCCTCTGCTCACTTGTGAAGCCATCACCAAATCAACCTCACGACAGTGTCACCTTCACAGGATTCCCTGTACCCCCAACTTCCCCCTCATCCCCTCTCCCCCCCAGCCTGGCACCCCCGAGTCCACTTCCTGTCCCTGGAGTCGCCTGTCCTGGGCGTTTCCTTTCTGTGGAGCCCACTCCGTGTCCTCTGTGTCTGGCGTCTCTCCCTGAGCACGGCGTCCTCGGGGTCCCTCCACGCTGTGGCGAGTGTCACAGCCTTGCTTCTTTCTCGACCCAGTGACATCCTCGTGTGGTGGACCCCTCTGGGTGTGTCCGCGCCTCTGCCCATGGCTGGTCTGTCATCCCCTTCTTGACTGCTGTGGTGGTGATCCTGTCCTGGCCCCTCTGTCTACCCAGGCCAAAGGGTAGGTGCCCAGCTGGGGGACTGGGTGGCCTGTGTGACAACTGTGGCCTGCACATATGCAGTGTGGTATCTGTGGGCCTTGAGGCCTTGCTGCTGGAGGACAGGAAAATGCTGAGTGTCTTTCTGCGGGAGGCAGTGTCCCGCGAGGCCTGGACAGGGTGTGAGCCCACGGGCTGTTTGCGTGTTAATAGCGCCCAGGCCTTGGCCTTGCAGCTCCAGGTAGCTGGGGGAGGAGGGCCTGACCTGTTCACAGCCCCTTCTCTGCTCCCTGACTAGGGCATATCGCTCCCACAACACGGGGCCCTGTCTGGGGATATCTGTGGCTGTCACGGCAGGGGAGCCCTGCACAGAGGGGTGGAGGCTCTACAGGGAAGGAGCAGGGAGTGACCTGGTCCCAGGCGGAACTGGGGGGCTGAGAGTTGGCATCTGGGGCATCTGGGCTCGTGGGTCCCCTCCCTGAGCACTGGGGTTGAGTAGGACAGGAATGGAGGGCCGAGCTCAGGGTCTGAGAGCAGCCCAGTGCCAGCTGCAGTCTTGGCAAGGAGGGCAGGCTGGGCTGTGTGTCTGTGCATCCAGACAGGGCAGGGTCCTCCCGGGGCGCCCCGGCCTCCACCGCTGCACACCAGCAGCTCCCCAGTCGTGACAACTGCCATTGTCTCCAGGTGTGGCTGGAGAGTCCAGGCAGGCGCCTTTGGTGAGGTCCCTGGTAGGAGTCACGTCCGTCCCTGTGACAGACACTCTGGAAGGGTTGGGAGAAGCTCCTGCTGGGTCTCACAGGCCCAGTGTCCGCAGCTGTGTGGCCCTGAATGGGGCAGAAGGGCTGGTGGGAAAGAGGGGTGCCCCCTTCAACTTGCCATCCTTTGGTTTTGGTTTTTTTTTTTTGGTACTGGGGATTGAACTCAGGACCTTGTACTTGTGAGGCAGGCGGCGGAACCACTGAGCTAAATCCCTGGCCCTATCCTTTGTTTTTTATTTTATTTATTTTTTGAGCCAGAGCTTCACTAAGTTGCCCAGGGCAGCCTCGAATTTGCGATCCTCCTGATTCAGCCTCTAGAATGCTGGGATGTCGAGCTTGTGCCACCACCAGTTTGACTTGGTGTCCTTTAATGTGATTGAGAGATCCTGTCCTCTGCCAGGCGGGGCACATGGGTGGTTGGTTCGCTTTGTGTCCCACTGCCTGTCCCAGGCCAGCCTGCGCGTGTCCAGGGCTCGGGGGACGCATGGACACACAGCCTCTGTCTCGGGGTCTCTGCAGATGGAGGACGGCCACACGCTGTTTGATTATGATGTGCGCCTCAATGACACCATCCAGCTGCTGGTGCGCCAGAGCTTGGTGCTCCCATCCAGCCAGGAGAGGGACTCAGAGCTCTCAGACACGGACTCGGGCTGCTGCCTGGGCCAGAGTGAGTCGGACAAGTCATCCACACATGGCGAGGGGGCTGCCGACGCAGATAGCAAGGCTGGCCTGGCAGACAAGGATGTGGCTGAGACTGAGCAGGGGCTCTATAAGGTGAGGCGGGTCCCTTCCTCCCGTGGAGATGGCCAGCGTGTCCCCTCCCCTTCCTGGAGGGCCATGTGGCCTGGCCCTCTGGAGCCCTTCCGCCCTCTTAAGCAGAGTCCAGGCTTGGGGCCTGCAGGGTTGCTCCATGGCCTAGTCATCCCCAAATCTGCTGCCCTTGCCGGGATCAGGAAGTTCCCAGGAACGACCTGTGTTTCTGGGTGTGCTAAGGGGGAGGGAGTCGCCCCCCTGAGCCACAGCCACAGAGGCTATGCTGGGCACACTGCTCCTGCTGGGCCTGCTGCTCCCCGTGGGCAGTGGGTCTTGCCTGGGGCAGTTCTGCCCCCAGGAAGGCTGGGTGATGCCCAGGGACCCCAGTGGTTGTCAGGACTGGGCTCGTCCTGGCCTGGAGCTCGGCACCTGCAGGACACCCACCCCGGAGGAGGACGTGGCATCGCCTGCCGTGTCCCCCATGCCTGCCCCAGAGGAGCAGGGTGTCTGTGTTCCTGTCCCTACTCCCCGAGCACTGGGGGAGCCCTGTTGGTTCCTCACGCCACCAACTGAGACACCCGGGTCCCTGTCCCTGCAGGTGAACGAGTACGTGGACGCACGGGACACAAACATGGGTGCGTGGTTCGAGGCGCAGGTGGTTGGGGTGCTTCGGAAGGTGAGGATGGCTGAGGACAAGCCCTGCAGCTCCACCACCAGCCCAACACCCGAGGAGAATGTCATCTACCGCGTGAAATACGATGAGTGAGTGGCCCCGCTGTGACTGCAGGCTGAGCTTGGTGCTGTCTTGGTGATGGCACTTGGGGTCTGCAGGGTCCCTGCCCACACATGACCATCGGGTGGACACAGAAAGCAGGGCCGCCCCTCCTTGGCAGCGAGACGAAGAGGGGCAGTTGGCTGGCAGTGCTGGATGGAACCGAGGGCTTTTGCAGATGCTAGGCAAGCACTCGCCACAGAGCTGCACGCCAGCCCATTTCCCCGTCTTACTTCTCATGCCACCTATGACTGATGAAGCCAGCTTGTCCCCTTCCTTCTGGGCCTCGTGGTCGGCTGCCCTCAGATACATAGGCTTAAAGTGCCCAGCCCTGTTGCTTGACCTTCTGAGGCCAGAAGGCCAAGGGCCAGGTGGTCAGAGGACGGGTGCCTGGTCGGCTGGTTGTCTCCTGAAGGGACCCCGGGCCTGGGGATGAAAGCCCCACCTTTGACCCTGTGTAATCACAATCACCTCTGTGTCCCAGGGCCCTCGAGGCTTGGGGCTTCAGCCTGGAGACCGGGAGTGGAGGGCTGCTGGCAGACGAGGTCAGAACGAGGCAGAGCTCCTGCTCTGGGGTACTGGGGGCTCAGTCCAGTCCCTCTAGCCCAGAACGTGTCTGGCACACTCCATGCATGCGTGGCTCTGTGGGTAGTTTCTGGGGAAACTGGCCTGGGCAGACCCCATTGGAATAGAGCTCCAGTCATCTGGGCCAGGAGTTTGCAAGCTGCAGTCCTAGGGCCAAATCCAGTCCCTGCTCGGTTCCGTACCCCTGTTAGTTGCCTGGGACTGGGGCAGACTAGACCACTATCTTTGCAACCCTGTCACCCCAGCACTCTGGGAGGCTGAGGCAGGAGGATTGGAAGTTGGAGCCCAGCCTGTGCAACTTAGTGAGACCCTTTTGCAGCATAAAACAATAAAAAGGACTGGGGATGAAGCTCAGTGTGAGGGCCCTGGTTCAGTTGCCAGTACCACAGCATGTATTTTTTTTGATCCCCAGTACCAAAAGGAAAAAAAAAGTTGACTCTTCACAGCATGTTTTTTTTTTTTCTTTTGTAGCGGAAATTAAACTTGGGACCTTGCGCTTGTGAGGCAGGTGGTGGCACCCCTGAGCTAAATCCCCTGCCCAGTTCAGGCTGTTGTTTTGCGGGGGGAGGGTACCGGGGATTGAACTCTGGTCCTTGCGCTTGCGCGGCAGGCGGCGAAACCACTGAGCTAAATCCCCGGCCCAAGGCTGTTTTTGAGCTCACTGTGTATCCTAGGCTGGCCTCGAACTTATGGCAATCCTCTTGCCTCAGCCTCCTGAGCGCTGGGATTATAGGCATGCGCCATCACACCCAGCCAGCATGTATTATTTAAAATGAACAAAAAACCTTAGCAGAAAGTTTGATAATGCCTATTCATGGTGACGTATTAGAAAAAAATGAGCCCACAGTGAGAGAGCTATAGGAATAGATTTAGGGGTGACCTCTCCCAGGTCAGGCTTATTTGCTGGCGGAGTATCCCCCCCCACCCGCCCCAGTATGAGGGATTGAACTCAGGACCTTGTGCTTGCCAGTCAGGCGCAGCACCACTGAGCTACATCCCTGGTCAGAATTTTCTTTTACCTCTATTTTTTTCTTCCTTTTTTTCTCTCAAGTGGTGGGATTATAGATGTATGCCACTATGCCTAGTTAAGCTCTGTTTTACATCTCTTATGGCTTGTAAAATAACCCTGTGCATCCAGAACAGTGATGGCGAACCTTTGGGAGGTTTCGATGATGGAAACAGCCAGCTGCAGCATGCGTGCCGGAGGTTCGCCACCATTCACCTAGAATAATGACTTCCCATTGTGTTCTCATAGCCATTCTGTTATATGCACCTAAACAAAGTCAGGCTCCTCTGCAGAAATGACTTTGGACACCTACATGTTGAAAAATTAAACTTTGTCCTCTCTGGAATCTGTCCAAGGGCCGAGTCCTCTTGGGCTGGAAAAGTCAGTTTGGGAGCCAGAAGCCCGGGAGGTCAAGGAGTCTGCCTATGGGGAAGCGCCAGTCGTCCCTGGGGTGCTTGGGGATCCTGGGCATAGTGGCTGCCTCCCTACAGTCTCTGCGTTCTCTCCCTGTGGTCTTCTTTCCCTCCTCTCTCCTCTTCCTAAGACGCTGGGCCACATCCTACTCCAGGGTGGCTTTTTTCAGCACTGGGGAATGAACTGGGGTGCTTCACACTGAGCTACATCCCAGCACAGGCTGCCCCCTGCCCTTTTTTTTGGTACCGAGGATTAAACTTGGGATCTTACGCTTGTGAGGCAGGCGGCAGAACCACTGAGCTAAATCCTCGCCCTGAAAAATTTTCTTATGAACCAGGGTCCTGCTCAGTGGCTCAGGTTGGGCTTGAATTGCGATCCTTCTGCCTCCTCCCCAGTGCTGGGATGACAGGTGTGCACCAACATGCCCAGCTCTGTGTGATCTCATCTTGACATGGAAGACCCTGTTTCCGAGGGCGGCCTCCCTCGCAGACTGCTCTCTTGGAGAATGGGCCCCAGCCTGTCTGGGTGCTGTGGTTGGACCTCGTCCCGCACACCAGTGTTCCCAGTGGGGCACCTCAGGTTGGGATGGGGCCTTTTCTGTGCGTCCTCGGGCTCTGCAGAGACGGCTGTACTGTCCCCCCAGCTACCCCGAGAACGGCGTGGTCACCATGCAGTCCCACAATGTGCGTGCACGGGCCCGCACCATCCTCAAGTGGCACGAGCTGGAGGTGGGCCAGGTGGTCATGCTCAACTACAACTCCGACCACCCCAGGGAGCGCGGCTTCTGGTACGACGCCGAGATCTGCAGGAAGCGTGAGACGCGCACGGGGCGGGAGCTCTACGCGAACATCAGGCTCGGGTGAGTTGAGCCGGGCTGAGATTTCCGGAGTCTTCCATGGGCTCCCTGGGTGGTGAATCCTGGGGGAGGCAGGAAGATGCAGGGTGAGAGTGTGGGGCACCAGAGCCTTCTCACTGAGCTTTTTTATGGGGGGTGTGGTGAGACAGGGTCTCGCTTTGTCTTCAGGCTGGCCCTGAACTCACTGTGTAGCCCAGGCTGGCCTTGATCTCATGGTGATCCACCTGCCTCAGCTTCCCTAGTGCTGGGATGACAGGCTCCACAGGCCTAATTTCATTTTGATTCTCTTGGTTTTTTTGGTATGGGGGATCGAACTTAGGTCCTTGTGCTTGTGAGGCAGGTGCCGGAACCACTGAGCTAAATCCCCGGCCCTCATTTTGAGTTTGAGACAGGGTCTCATTAAGTCCTGAAGTTGCCCAGGCTAGGCTTGAGCTTGAGATCCCCCTGCCTCAGCCTCCCAGAGTGATGGGATGACAGGTGCCCAGCTGAGCTGCCTTTTCTGTATACTCGAAAGTTGAGGGAGGTTATGGGGCACGGGGTATACTGGCCAGCAGCCTCTGAGTCCCCTGATCTTGAACCCCAGGACTCAAGCTGTTTCTGTGACCATAAAGCTCCTTGCTGTGGTTCTTTAGTCCTCCAGTGCTTGAAGGTCAGATCTGTTGTGCTTGCTGTGTTGCATTCCTGCATTTGAGAGTTTGTGTCTTTATTTTTGTCTATTTTGCTGGAAGCTTGTCAGTTTTTTGTTTTGGGGAATTACCTTTTTTTTTGGTACTGGGGATCGAACTCAGTACCTTGTACTTGCAAGGCAGGCAGCAAAACCACTGAGCTACATCCTTGGTCCAGCTTTTTGTTTTGTTGATTTTTTCCCCATTATTTTTAATTTCATTGATTTTTGTTCTTTTAAAATTTTCTGCCTTCAAAAAAAGGAAAGAAAAATAGAACTCCCTCAAAACAATAAATTCTCTTCTGCTTGCTTAGGGTTGATTTTGTTCTCTTCCAGTTTCTTAGGAAGGGGGTCTGTGTGGATTTGAGACAATTCCTCTATCATGAGCCTTCAGTTCTCATTTTCCCTCTCAACACAGCTTTAAGTGCTTTCCAGCATACTTTGCTCTGTTACATGTGTGTGTTTGTTTTTGAAGCTAGGTCTCTCTGTAGAGTGGGCCATCTTGCCCCAGCCTCCCAAGTGCTGGAATTCTAGGCATGGGACACTACACTGCCTTGAGGCATTGTTTAATTTCCAAGTGTTCAGTGATTTTCCTGTTGTGCTTTTATTGGTGATTTGTCGTTTGGCTTCATCGTGGTCAGAGAACATACTCTGATTTCAGTCCTGTGAATTGTGTGTTTTGGCCTGGGATATATGACCTCTCTTGGTGACTGTTCCATAGCCACTTGAGAAAGGAAAAAAAGGGGCATGATTTCTTGCTGAAGGGGGAGTGCTCTGTGCCTAGCTGTGAGGTCCAGTGGGTTTGCTGTGATCCAGATCTGCTCTTGCTGTACTTTGTCTCGCAGTTCTGTCACTGGGGAGTGGGTTATTGACGTCCCTGGCTGTATCTGTGGGATTTGCTGTTTCTTACGGGTTTATGTATTTTGAGGCATTCTTGTTTAGTGCCTATGTGTTTGGGTTTTTTGTTACTGGGAATTGAACTCGGGACCTTGCCCTTGCGAGGTAGGCGGTGGATCCATTGAGCTAAATCCCCAGCCTACTGGTTCCTATGTGTTCACAGTCGTTTTGTCTCCTTGGTTAGTTGGTGTGTGTGTGTGTGTGTGTGTGTCCGTGTGTGTCCGTCCGTGTCCGTCCGTCCGTCCTAGAATTGAACCCAGAGCCTTCATACACACATAGCTGCATCTCCAGCTTTTCTGAGACAGGGTCTTGCTAAGTTGCCCCAGGCTGAGCTCAAACTTGTAATCCTCCTGGCTCAGCCTCCCAGAGTGCTCTGATTTACAGGCATGTGATAACCTTGTTGCCTTGATCTTTTCATCATTAGGTAATGTCCCTATTTGTCTCTGGCCATGGTTTTTTTATTTTGAGACAGGGTCACGCTATGCAATTCAGGCTGGCCTTGAACTCACTGTGTAACAGACTGGCCTCAAACTTGCTGCCCTACTGCTTCAGCATCCTGAGTGCTGGGATTCCAGGTGTCCACTACCACACCTGTCTCTGGTCGTGGTTTTCCTTTTTCTTTGTGGTGCTAGGGATGGCGCCCAGGATCTGCTACATAAGGGGTACACACTGTACCCCCGAGCCACACCCCAGGCCCAGTGACTGTTTTTTACCCATCCCATGGTGAAATAATATCTTGGGTCATCTGAATTGGTTCTACCTGTTTCCTTTTGAATGTGAGAAAATTCAGTGTGTATTTGGAACTCGAACTCTGCTTCCCTTGGATGTTGCTGATGAAGTTGCCAGGGACTCATTTAGGTCATAGGAGCTTTTATTTTCTGTTCGTTTGGGTTTTTTTTGAGACAGGGTCTTGGCTATGTAGTCCAGGCTGGCCTCAAACTCATGGCTTAGCCTCCTGGGTGCTGGGATGAAATATACACAATTTTTTTTTTTTTTTTTTTTTGGCACCAGGTATTGAACTCGGGTCCTTGTGCTTGTGAGCCAGGCAGTGGAACCATTGAGCTAAATCCCTGGCCCAATATATACACATTTTTAAAGGACAAATTGGTCAGACTGTTTCTTGTTCTTTGCTGTTGTTGGCCTTGTATGCCCAAAGGTTTAAACTTTTGCCAAACACATCCCATAATTGAAGCTCTGGTTTGTTTTTGTCTTGCGTCTGGTTTAGCAGGACTTGACTTGGCACGAGGACTAGCTCAGGGCCTGCAAAAATCTCCTGTCTGACCGCACTGGAACTTGTGGTGTTGAAATGCACCCAGGATGGGGTGAGAGCAAAATCCTTTTTGGTCCGGGCATGGTGACAGAAGCCTGTAATCCCTGCACTGGAAAGGCTGAAGCAGGAGGATCTCAAGTTCAACTCTGCTTGGGTGACTTAGTGAGAGCCTGTCTAAAATGGGCAAAGATGTAGCTCAGACCCACCGACAGAACGCAAACAACAACCAAGTCCTCCTGGGAGCGCCAGGCTGGGGCCAGGCAGTGGCCCGCTGAGGTTCAGGGTTATCCTCCCGCAGGGACCATTCCCTCCACAACTGTCGCATCGTCTTCATGGACGAGGTATTCAAGATTGAGCGCCCAGGCGAGGCCCCCCCCGTGGTTGAGAACCCCATGAGACGTGAGTTCTGAGTGTCCCTGTGCAGGCGGGGAGGGTCCCTGCTCGTCCTGCCCCCTTGTTCACTGAGCCTGCCCTCCCGCGCAGGCAAGAGTGGCCCGAGCTGCAAGTACTGCAAGGACGACCCCAACAAGCTGTGCCGCATATGCGCCTGCCACCGGTGCGGGGGCCGGGAGGCACCCGACAAGCAGCTGATGTGTGACGAGTGCGACATGGCGTACCACCTGTACTGCCTGGACCCGCCGCTCAGCAGTGTGCCGCCGCCCGAGGAGGACTGGTGAGGGCAGGCAGTGCACGGCTGGCCGTGACCGGCAACGCCTGTGCTCGCCCCATGCCGTGGACGAGGGCGGAGCTCGTGGCCCAGGTGCCCCCTTGTGTTGGCCGCTCCTGTTGCCGCGTGCCCTGAGATGGGGAAACCGAGTCCATGCCTGGAGTTCCCACACCATTTGTGTGTGGGTGGTGCCTGCGCTGTCCCAGTGGGGAGGGGCTGTGAGGCTCTGAGGAGGGCGATGTTTGATCCAGGGAGGGGCTGTTCCAGCTCTAGCGGGGACCTGGGATTCTGGGTGTGAGGAACCTGAGTGACTCTCAGTGGCCCGGATGCCACGGGGTCCCTGTGTGGCGGAAGTGACGGGCGCTGAGGGGCTCGGACCGCCGCTTGCCGGGTCTCCGTGGAGCTGACACCCCTGTGGTCGTAGGTACTGCCCCGATTGCCGGAACGAGCCCAGCGAGGTGGTGCTGGCTGGGCAAAGGCTGCGAGAGAGCAAGAAGAAGGCGAAGATGGCGTCGGCCACGTCATCCTCTCAGCGGGACTGGGGAAAGGTGAGGCGGGTCGGACCCCTGCCCCACCCCGTGCCACCGTCCTCCCCTCCCATGCTCATAACTGTCCCTCTTTGTCCACCGTGCAGGGCATGGCGTGCGTGGGGCGCACGAAGGAGTGCACTATTGTCCCGTCCAACCACTATGGACCCATCCCAGGCATCCCTGTGGGGACCATGTGGCGGTTCCGCGTGCAGGTACTGGCTCCTGTGCCCACCAGGCTGGTTCATGGCATGCAAGGCAGTGACCGGGACCGCGGGCACCAGCTCCTAGGCCAGGAGGGTGGGGCCGGCCCGAGAGCGCAGGGACACAGCCAGTTCCTTGCTGGCACTACGTGTGTGACTGCTCTGTGCCCTGAGCCTGGCCCTGAGGCTGCTGTGCCAGGGCCTAGCTGGCGTCACTGGAATGAACCTGTTTTCCCCACCAGTCCCCGTGTGTAATGACGTCTCCTACCTCTGGTGGCTCTGCCAGCACCCAGTGCCACCAGCAGCTTCATGTGTTTTTGGTCTTTTTTTCTTTTTTTGTTCTTCAGTATTGGGGATAAAACCCAGGACTTGCACACTAAGCTATGTTCCAGTCTTTTTAATTTTTGAGACAGGGTCTTGGTAAATTACCCAGGCTGGGCTTGAACTTGCCATTCTCTTGCCTCAGCCTCCCAGAGCAGTGGGATGACAGGTGTGTAGCCCTGTGCCTGGCTAGCCTGAGTTTTGTTTTCTGTTTTGGAGCCCAGGGTCTCATGCATGCTAGGCCAGTACTGTGCCTCTGAGCTCTGTCTCCAACCCTCTGGCAGCCTCTGGACTGTGTGCCAGGGTGGAGGAGACACAGCCACTGCTGACAGGGCTAGCAGGCTCTGTGAGGCTATCCATGACACTGAGCAGCATCCCTGGCCTCCATCTGCTCCATGCCAGCAGCACCCCCAGTTGTGACAACCACAAATGGCCCAGGGTCCCCAGGACAGGGTCGGCTGGGTGAAAGGGACCATGCTCACTTTGGTAGGAGCAGACCCCAGGTGCTTGGTGTTTGTGTCCTGCTGCAGAGCCGGGTCGGCCTGGCTGAGTTGCAGGGCTGCTCTTGGTGCACTTGGTGGGCTGGGTTGTAAGCCTACCCCTCTCAACAGCATGGCCTGACTCTGGAGGTGATGTGTGGCCCCAAGGCAGGGTTGGGAATGCCAGGCTTTGCAAGGTGGGGGGGACAAGGTTCTGCTCTGCTGTGGTCATTGCTGATGGTGCCGTCTGTCTCTGGTGTACACAGGTCAGTGAGTCCGGTGTCCATCGGCCTCACGTTGCAGGCATCCATGGGCGGAGCAATGATGGGGCCTACTCCTTGGTCCTGGCTGGGGGCTATGAGGACGATGAGGTGCGTGAGTCGGGGTGGCTTTACATTTTTTTTTTTTTTCCTATTGAGCCTTGTTTTTGAGCCAGGGTCTCATGGTGTAGCCCAGGCTGGCCTTGAACGCTTGGCAATCCTGCCTCACTCAAGAGTGCTGGGATCATAGGTGTGCACCACCATTCCTGGCTTATTATCTGTTATTATCGTTATTTTTTTTTTTTTTTACAATACTGGGAATTGAACTCAGGACCTTACACTTGCCAGGCGGATGAGGCACTGCTGAGGCTACATCCCTGGCACATCGGTTTATTTTTAAGTTTGTTAATTGCTTGCTCCTTCCCATGGTTTCCACATTGACCTTTCAGATTGAACTTTAGTCAACCATAGTCCAGAAATAGTAAATGGAACATTTCAGATCTAACCTACTCATACATTTAAAGTTCTGTGCCATTCTGAATGGCACATTGAACTCTTGTGGTGCCCACGCTCATTCTTAGTCAACTCTTTCCACATGGTATGGACTACCTTCCCATTAGTCACTAGGCAGCCATTCTGGTTATCAGGGTGAGTATCATGTGGTATCATAGCACTGTATTTCTGTACTTATTTAATAGGGGCTCCTAAACACCAGAGGAGTAATGGTGGCAGTGCATATGCCAGGTGAAAGCAGACAATGCTTCCTGTAAATGAAAAGATAAAAGTTCTTGACTTTGTAGTCATTGTACACTGAAGTTGCTGAGAATAAATCTAACTGGAGTTGTGAGGGAGAAAAAAAAGTTGTGCCAGTTGTGATAAGTGGTTACTTAAGATAGAAAAAGTCTTAAGAGTTTGTAACTGGGGATGGTGGCATACCCCTGTAATCCCAGCACTCAAGAGGCTGAGGCAGGAGGATTGCCATGAGTTCCAAGCCAGCCTGGGCTACATAGTGAGTTCAAGGCCAGCATGGACAACATAGTGAGACCCTGTCAACAAAAAACAAAAAATAGGGCCAGGGATTTGGCTCAGTGCCACTGCACCTACCTTGCAAGTGCAAGGTCCTAAGTTTAATTTCTGGAACCAAAAAAAAAATCAACCCCAAAACAAAAAAAGAGTTTGGTACAATCTGAGGCTTTACACATTCACTGGGGGTCCCGCAGCACATCCCCTCAGCTTACAACAGGAAGTGCATTTCCATGGCTGTGTGGCCATCACCACCGTTCACCTTCAGGCTTTCCATCTCCTTAAACTGAGCCCCCTTCTTCAGGAAACGCTGACTCCCATCCCCTCCCCAGCCCAGCACCACCATCCTTCCTGTCGCTGTGGATCTGGCCAAGCTGGGCCTTCTGGGAGTGGGACCCTGTGGTGCATGTCCTCCTGTGTCTGGCTCAGCTCCCTGAGCAGCGCAGCCTCAAGGTCCATCCACGGTGGAGCAGCATCAGGACTTCTTCCCTTTCATGGCTGTGTGATACTCTTATCATATGGATGGACCCCATGATGTGTGTCCATTCATCTTTTTTAAATTAATTTTATTGGTACATTTTAGGTATACAGTATAATGGCATTCATCAGTGGAAATTTGCCCCTTTACATAATCCATTTTCATTCTTATTTTTTCCCCATTCCCCTGCCCTCCCTTCAACCCCTCCATCCCTCCCTATTTACAAAGACTTAGTTTCCATTTTTTCATTTTCTCATACTCCATTCCATTCATCTGTTGATTGCCACTTGGGCTGTCCCCACCTTTTGCCTGTTGTAAACAGTACTATGTGCATATTGTACAAACATGACTTCACGATCTGCTTTCAGCAAAGCCTTTTTTTGGTACCGGGGATCAAACTCAGGACCTTGCACTTGCGAGGCAGGTGGTGGCACCACTGAGCTAAATCCCCGGCCCTCAGCAAAGCTTTTGTACGTAGGGAGGGGAGGGGGATTGAGGGGGGGAATGGGATAAAATTTAAAAAAAAAAAAAAATCTGCTTTCAGTTTTCCAGGCTATACACCCAGCAGTGGGCTTGCTGGGTCACATGATCTTTTTCTTTTTTCCTTTCAGTACTGGAGATTGAACTCAGTCTTTGCACTGGGCTACTACTTTGGTCCTTTAAGAAAATTTTTTTGGGGGGGCGGGGTGGGGATTTAGCTCAGTGTCACCATGCCTGCCTTGCAAGCGCAAGGTTGTGAGTTCGATTCCCGGTACCAAAAAAAAAATTTTTCTTTTTAAATTTTAAAAATTTTGGGGCCGGGGATTTAGCTCAGTGGTTCCCGCTCCTGCCTCGCAAGCGCAAAGACCCAAGTTCGATCCCTGGTACCAAAAAAAAAATTTGAGTCAGGGTCTTGCTATATCACGATGTTGCCCTGGGTGGGCTCCAGCTTGCTATCCTCCTGCCTCAGCCTCCCAGAATGCCATGTGGTCATATCATGTGCAGTTTTTTTTTTTTGGTACCGGAGATCGAACTCAGGACCTTGCCCTTGTGAGGCAGGCGCCGGAACCATTGAGCTAAATCCCCAGCCCTAATGTGCAGTTTCTTGAGGAAGCACCATCCTGTTTCTTTAGAAGCAATACTGGGTGACATTCCCAGCATAGAACCCATGAGCCCTGTCTCACGTCACCCACGCTCCCTTGCTCTTTGACACTCACTATACTGGTGGGCGCCTGGGCTGGTTCCCTGGCTCCCCTCTCCCTGAGTGGAAGGCTCACTGGCCCCTCTTTTCTGTTGCAGGACAATGGGAATTCTTTCACCTACACAGGTAGTGGTGGCCGAGATCTTTCTGGCAACAAGCGGACTGCTGGGCAGTCATCTGACCAGAAACTCACCAATACCAACAGGTTCGTGGAAATGGCTGGTCTTGTTTCTCCCCAGACCCCCCAGGGGTCCTTGGTTCTGATCTGGCATCTGGCAGGTGCATGGCCCTGTGCAGCGTGTGGTGGGGTGTAGAGCTGGACATCGTTTCTTCCCTTGTTTACTAAAGCTGTGGGGGCCATTCAGGTGGATTAAAGCGTTCTCTCCGTTAGGGCAGCTGTGTGTTTCCTGTTTGCTATCCACTTGGTCTTTGTGGTAGATGCCTGGGTGCAGCAGCTGCCACAGACCATCTGTAAGCAAGCCACTTGCAAAAACCAGGGTCCGGGTCAGACTTTGCTGGCCCCCCAAGGCAAGTGGGGTGGGCTTTTCAGGATTAAAAGCATAAAACCCAAAGAAAAAGGCTGAGAGACCTGATGGGTTGGTAGGGGAAGGGGCATCTGTGAAACAAACAGCCAGTGACTGTTGAGGAGTAAAATGTGCCCATCATGGCGACAGCTGTGGCTACTACGTAAAGACAATGGGGGAAAGAGTGAAGGACATGTGGACAGCCACTGTCCATGGTAAATTAATCATTCACCTCCAGTAATCAAAGAAATACAGATTGAGGCAATGTTCAGACCCTGTTTATGTCCCCTGTGAAATTGGCCAGAAACTCCAAAATGCTGAGAAACAACAGGGCAGAAACTAATGTTCTACTCTTGTAGAAACTCAAGCTGCTGCCGTCTTTCCAGAGAGCTCTTTAAACAGACAGTGTATGTAATATTCCCAGCTCCCAAGTCCAGTCTTGACTCTCCCACAGGGCGCTGGCTCTCAACTGCTACGCCCCCATCAACGACAAGAAGGGCGCAGAGTCCAAGGAATGGCGCTCGGGGAAGCCAGTGCGGGTCGTGCGAAACATGAAGGGCGGCAAGCACAGCAAGTACGCACCTGCGGAGGGCAACCGCTATGATGGGATCTATAAGGTGAGCCAGTGCCATTGGCTATGCCCTCCCACACCTTCCTCCTAGCCCTGCCCCTCACTAACACACCTGGCCATACCCGCGAACAGCCCTGGATCTAGACCTCTGGCCAGACCCCCCAGCACTCCCTGGCCACGCCCCTCCCTACCGGCTAGGTGCTCACTGGCTTTTGCCCACACCCTCTAGGGTCACGCCCCTCACTAGTCCCTCTCAGGCCATGCCCTTTCCGGCTGTTGCCCCTCCCACAAGTCTTCCTGGGCCGCCACGCCCCCAGGGTGGGCTCCCCTTCCTGACACCCCTACCCATCTCTTTCCTGTAGGTCGTGAAGTACTGGCCTGAGAAGGGCAAGTCTGGCTTTCTCGTGTGGCGCTACCTCCTGCGCAGGGATGACGTGGAACCTGGGCCCTGGACCAAGGAAGGGAAGGACCGCACCAAGAAGCTGGGGCTGACCATGCAGGTGCGCCCAGGCCCGACACCCACGCAGGGGCCCCGCTTGGCTCTGCTGTCTACTTTCTGCCATGTCTTTGGACAGCCACTCTGGGTGGGGCAGGAGCCAGTTTGGGGTCAGCAAGTGAGCGGGCACCCAGGCCTGAGGCTCCCTGGCTCTGAGTCTCTTCTGGTATTACCCCCAGGCTCCCCTTGCTTTGAGTTGCTTGGCCACGTTGTGTGATGTAGAAGCCACCTCTCCAGGTGTCTGGCGCAGCTTCCGGTTTGCATGTCATCTGTGTGGAGGGAGAGCCAGACCTCCCTGGCATGGCCATGTTCACGCAGGGCTTTGGCCCCCATCTGTTTGGAAGCTGGTCTTTCCTCTGTGCACCACCTCCGCCCGCTCCAACAAGGCAGAAAGGAACCAGTAGAGCAGGCAGAGGAGGAGCGAGAGGAATCACTCGCTCTGTTTTCTGAGAGAGGTGCAGGCTGTAATTATGGTGTTCGCTTCTCATTCCCTGCACGTTGCTGTATAGCACGAAAATGTTGGGCACTATTTCAGGAATCTTAATTGCTGGTGAGAGTCAGAGAGCGCTTACCCCCCGGGGGCACAGGGACTGTCATCTGAATGTGTTTGTGCAGCCCGGGAATTTCAGCACTGAGGCAGTGGGGCAGGGAACGGCAGTGGGATGGAGAATGTCACCTTCTGGCAGGGCACAGTTTTGTTTTGTTTTTTGTTACTGGGGATTGAACTCGGGTCCTTGAGCTTGCGCAGCAGGCGGTGAAACCACTGAGCTAAATCCCTGGCCCCCTTGGGCACAGTGTTTATTCATGACTTTGGTCAGCACAACTGCAGGTTACTCGGGATGTTGAAGGTTTGGCTTTGCTGTGGAGGTGGGGTTTTGCTGTGTCGCCCAGGCTGGGCTTGTGTGCATATTGTGTGCTGGGGGTGGAACCCAGGGCCTCGTGCACTCTGTCTGGGCAAACCCTCAGCCCTGCTCCACACCCTAGCTTCTGTCAGTTGCTTGTAGAAGAGGGAATGGGGATCAGGCGCCTTTGGGGACCAGTCATGCTGAGGGCTGTCTCACCATGCATCCACTGTTTCGCAGTATCCAGAGGGTTACTTGGAAGCCCTGGCCAACCGGGACAAGGAGAACAAGAGGGCGGCCGAGGAGCAGGAAGACCTGTCGCCCTCCAAGAAGGGCAAGTGGAAGCGGAAGTCAGCAGGTGCATGTCTCGCCCGTCCCCAAGTTCCCTGTCCTGCGCAGGAGCCAGCCGCTCCCTCACCCACTGTCTTCTCCAGGCCAGAGTGGGTCTCAGCCTCAGACCACCAAGAAGACCAAGCTGGAGCCCTACAGACTCACGGCTGAGCAGAGCAACCTCATCAAGGCGGATGAGAGCAACACGAAGCTGTGGACCGAGGTCCTCACGGCGCTCAGAGAAGGCTTGGTGAGTCCACCTGGGCGTGAGCTCACGTTGGTGACGTGTGCATTATGGGGCAGCTGGCAGCCAGACCATGTTCAAGCACACGGCTCAGCAGCATCGCGAATATCCAACAGCTATGCTGTCCCCACCATCCACCTCCAGGACTTTCCATCTCCCTAGCTGACCCTGTCCCAGGAAACGCTGACTCCCATCTCCTCCCCAGCCTGACACCATGTCCTCCCTCCTGTCCTTGTGGATCTGACCACGCTGGGCCTCCTGGGAGTGGGGCCCTGCGGTGCGTGTCTTCCTGTGTCTGGCTCAGTCCTGAGTAGCATGGTCTCAAGGTCCATCCCTGCTGTAGGAGTGTCAGGACTTCCTTTTTGAGGCTGAATAATATTCCAGTGTGTGGGTGGACCAAGCTGTGCGTATTCATCCTCCCCTGTTTAGTTCCACTTTTGAGCTGTATGCTCGTGCTTCTGCGACCCCAATGTGCAAATGTCTCTTCTGGCCCCTGCTTCGATTTTGAGGTATATCCTAGGTGGGAATTGCTGGTTCAGGATGGGGGTCTGGGTTTAGCTTTTTGAGGGACCTCCAAGCCAGACCTATCTCTCTCTTCCTGCCCTTAGTGGGGTTTGACACTGATCAGTCATTGTCATCCAGCCGGCGTCCCCTCCTTGATAGTCCAGGCTCACCTTCCCTGACCCATGTGAGTCTGTTGGGGGTCCTGTCATAAAAGACCCCAAGCCTAGTAGTTCAGAACAAACCAGACTTAAGCTGTCACTGTTTTGAAGGCTTGAACCCTAAAAGGAGCCTTCTGGGGCAGCTGGAGACGTTGGCAGGGTCAGTCTCGGTGGCCCCATGGCTTCGTTTCTCCTGTGCCTCCCTCTTAGACCGTTGTGACACTGGCCCACTTGGGGGGGTGGGAGCCGCCCCCCTCTGTGTTAGTGTATTCTTGTCAGCAGAATCTCTTGTCATGTGAGGGGACGTGTTTACGGGACCCAGGACTGCCCTGTGGGCTTCTCTGGGTCCCCATCCAACCTCCCACTGCTCCTTCTGGCCTCATGCATGAGCCATCTTCTTCATGGAGCTTTCTCTCCCCATTCTGCATTTGGGGGCAGCTCCTCATGCTCTCTGCGGTCCCCAGCCCCACAGGGACTTTTTTTTGTTTTGGGGTTCTTTTTGTGGTACTGGGGATTGAACTCAGGATCTTATGCTTACCAGGCAAGTGCGGTGCCACTGAGCTACATCCCTGGCCTTGTTTTCATTTTTTGAAATGGGGTCTCGCTGTGTAGTTCTGGCTGGCCTTGAACTCACTATGTAGCCAAGCTGGCCTTAAAACTCCTGGCAACTTTCCTGCCTCAGCCTCCGGAGTGCTAGGATCATAGGCGTGTGGCACCATGCCTGGTTTTCTTGCACATCTTGGCACCTCCACCAAACCCATGTGTGAGGGCCTTCTTTCTGATCCATCCCCATGCTGGGCCCACTGGGGGACCCTGGATGTGGCCTGCATGGCCCTGGGTTTCTGCTCTTTGTCACGAAATGGGACCCAGCTGCTCCTGCTCGGGGTGGGGGCCGTGTGGGGATGGCTGATGCGCCTGCCCGTGTGCAGTTCCAGGTGTTCCTGAGCAAGGTGGAGGAGACGTTCCAGTGCATCTGCTGCCAGGAGCTGGTGTTCCAGCCTGTCACCACTGTGTGCCAGCACAACGTGTGCAAGGTGAGCGTGTGGGGGTGCTCGGCAGGCGGTAATCACTCCTCCTCAGCAGCTCCCTGCTCTAGGCCTATTGCATAGCGAGACTTAGGGTCAGCCGGGCAGGGAGGGAAGGCTTCCTGGAAGGGGAGATTGGACGGGGCAGCACTGCAGGAGCAGCCAGGACCTGGAGGCAACGTGGGCACCAGGACTGGGCCTTGCTGGCCGTCTTCAGCACCCTTAGGTCTCTGCTGCTTCCTCCTCCTCCTCCCTGATGGGTGTTTATTGGCCACCTGCTTAGTGTGGGCACTGTGTCTGGTGTTAGCAGGGTGTAGGGGATGTAGACCACAGTCCCTAGGCTGGTCTGGGTGTCACATGGAGGGAGAGGCAGCAGGCTGGTGGGGTTGGGCTGGACAGGTCTCAGAGATGATGACAAGTCCCCTGGCAGTCAGCCTGAGGCACAGCTGCAGAAGCTGATGAGCCTGGCACCTCTCAGGGACCCTGCAGAGGCCAAGCTGGCTGTGGGCAGGGAGTGGCATGGGGGCCAGGCCGGGACCTCACCCACCCACCCTGTCTCGCAGGACTGCCTGGACAGGTCATTCCGTGCCCAGGTCTTCAGCTGCCCGGCCTGCCGCTATGACCTGGGCCGTGGCTACGCCATGCAGGTGAACACGGCACTCCAGACCATCCTCAGCCATTTCTTTCCCGGCTATGGCAGCGGCCGGTGATCCCCGAGCACTTCCGGCGGCGCTGGACCCGTCCCCGTGCCTGGCGTTGGCCTTGTTCCTAGTGGGCTTAACTTAAAACATGTAGTTTCCCTCTGCTCCCTCAAAGCCTTGTCTTCCTGTTTTTGTTTTTGTTGTTTCTTAATGTATACGTTTTCAGGAATTTCCAAGTTCTAGCTGAAAGTTGGACTTGTGTTTGGTTTAGTTGTATCAGAACTATAAAGCTGCAATTTATCTGCATGAGATGGGATGGGCCCCGCGGCCTGAGGCTGCGCCCTGGCACTCCTGTGGAGTTCAGAAGCTCTCAGAAGCTCCCGCCACAGACTGCTAAGAAGGCGACCGCTGGCTGCCCAGAGCCAAATGTGAGGTTTGGGGGAGTCCCCGAGGTCCCCCCTCCCCAGTGTCAAAGCCGGTCGTCTTTCTGGTGGCAGCAAGTTGGTTCCTGGCGGGTCCTTGCCGACTGCCTAGAGGCGGCTAAGCGGACAGGATGCTCAGCTGGGCAGACTCGCCTGCAAGCTATCCATGGGCACCTCGGCCGGCCGGGGTCCTCTATCCCCGCCTGCCCGCCGGAGGACAGCATCTGCCTGGCCTCCATGGGGCCGCTGGGGCGGTGGGGAGCGCGGAGCCCTGTCCAAGTGCCTTCGCTCGTCCTTCACAAGACGGGGCTCTTCCTTTTTAGCACTGAAGTTTTGAAAAATGCCAACCAGATTTTCTAAATACTGCGCCTGTTCCTTCCTTCCTCGTGCTGAGTGGGTGTTAGGGGTGGTTTGAGTTTCACCCATCTTTTTTTTTTTTCTAAAACTCAGCAACTGAAACTTACAAGGGGGGATTTTGTTTTTTATTTTTTTTTTGTACCGAATGCTTTTTGAAATGAATTTTTTTTTTTTTGTAGCATATGTACCAAGAAAGATATAACTTAGGATTTGGTTGTATTTTTTTATACTTTTTTTGAAGGGTTTGTTCATTTTTCTAACTTTACCAAAGTTTGCAGCGTATACCTCAGTAGACCCAGGGATGTTTTAAATCACGTAACTGCAAACAGACTGAAGCAATACTATTTTTAAAGGGTTTTTTTTGTTTTTTTTTCTTACTAGACTGTTAATGTATTAGGGAAGAAATAACGAAATTCTGTGTAGGCTTTTTCCGAAGTTCGATATTCTTTGTGCAGATTTTAGATTCTCAGAATAAATGTTTTTCACAGATGTATCTGGTTGTCTTCATGTTTGCAAACAACTTTGAGTTCTGTGTCTTTTCTCGCCTATTATTTCATTTTCTCTTCACAAAAACCCCAAGAGAAAAGTTGGTAAGAAACGTCATCCCCACTTTAACATTTTTTGCAGTACTGGGAATTGAACCCAGGGAGTGCTGAGCTATATTTGTAGCCCTTTTAACTTTTTTATTTTGAGGCAGAGTCTTGCTAAATTGGCCAAGCTGGGCTGGAACCTGTGATCCTCCTGCCTCAGCCCCTCCCAGTTTGCTGGAATTACAGGCGTGCACACGCTGACCAGGCTGACAGTTTTTATTGATGATAAAGTCATTACGTGGGCAGATGGAATTTGATAAAAATAACTTTTTTTTTTGGTACCGGGGATCCAACTCGGGTCCTTTTGCTTGCGCAGCAGGCAGCGAAACCACTGAGCTAAATCCCTGGCCCCAAAATAACATTTTTAATAGAATGTGCCATCTTTTCCTTAAAATGTCTTGTGTCCTTGGGAGTGCTATCCTAAGTGAAAAGTGAAGTCACAGAATGCCATCCATGGTCCTATTCATGTGAAATGTCCCCCATAGGGGACAGGATCTGGTTGAGTGGTTTTGAGGGCTCGGGCAGAGCTGGGGGCTTGCTAGGAGGGAGTGGTAGGTGAGAATTGTGTGGGATGTGAATTATATCTCAGTGTCAAGTGTGAACATAAACTAAAAACAGGAAGGATGCCCAGGTCGAGGAACAGAGAGCTCTCAGTGTCCCCTGGCCAAGTCCTTCCCAGAAGAGCCTGTAGGGTCCCTGGAGGCGGCTGCTGTCAGGGTGACTCATTGTCTCTGGAAGCTTTCACATAGAATGATAGCACTGGCTTTTTGTTTTATTTTATTTATTTTGATACTGGGACTCAAACTCAGTACCTTGTGCTTTCCAGGCAGGTGGTGGCACCACTGAGCTAAATCCCTAGCCCCTTTCTGTTTTTGTGTTTTGAGATGGGCTCTGGCTATGTAGCCCAGGCTAGCCCCAGATCCTCAGCCTCCCAAGTGCCTGGATTTTTTATATATATATATAATCAAGATGTGCACCTTGATGCCTGGCTCATATTATTTAAAAAATGGGCTGGGGATTTAGCTCAGTTCTGCTGCCTACTTTGCAAGCGCAAGGCCCGAGTTCAATCCCCAGTACCAAAGAAAAATGTGGAAACACCAGAAAAGTGAAATTGTTATACAGAAATTACAACGTTGGGGGCTGGGGATTTAGCTCGGTTCTGCTGCTTGCCTCGAAAGCGCAAGGTCCCGAGTTTGATCCCCGGTACTAAAAAAAACCCAACAAATTACAATGTCGGGCATATTTCTCTCCTGGTTGACTTTATAACAGCTTTATTGAGATTTCATGTAACTGCACCCATTTAAAGTGTACAATAAGTCCCCAGTTTAGTTCCAGGAGAACTTTTTTTTTTTTTTTTGCGGTACCGGGGATCTTGGGTTCTTGCGCTTGCGAGGCAGGTGGTGGAACCACTGAGCTAAATCCCCAGCCCCAGTGGAGAACATTTTAAAGTCTGATTCGTTCACAAGTGAGAAAGTGAGTCTTACATGCCTCTAATGCAAATATACAAAGTGAAGCATTAACACACATTTTGGGCTCTGAGCACTGCGCTACTGTACAGCAAACACCCAGCAGCACAACTGTGACCATGTCCGGCACACACGGGAGTTCATGATTTGTTTGCATCTACTCGTGTTCCTAGTGCAAAGTCAGTTGGTATGTGAAAGTTCGCAACTCGAATGTTTGCAAGTTGGGCCCTTACTGTGCAGTTGATTGGTTTTTACTATATTCACAGAATTGTGCAACCATTGCCAACATCTAATTCCAGAACATATTGTTACATCAAAGAGCAACTTTGTCTCATGAATGGTCACTGCTTGTCCCCTCTGCAGTCCCCAGCATTTACATACAGGTCCACTTCCTGTCCCTGGAGTCGCCTGTCCTGGGCGTTTCCTGTCCGTGCAGCCCATGCTGTGTCCTCTGTGTCTGGCGTCTCTCACTGAGCACAGCGTCCTCAGGGTCCGTCCACCCTGTGGCGAGTGTTAACAGCTCTCGCACCTTGTCTGGCCACGTGAACCCTCTTAACCTTTGGGTTCAATCCCTAGTACTGAAAAGCTGGATTGAGCACATTTTTACAATCTACCTGATTGATTTTGTAAAACTTTTTGGCTGGATGTGGTGGCCCACGCCTGTCATCCTAGCACACAGGATCGCTGGGAGTTCAAGGCCAGCCTGTTCTACAAAGTGTGACCCTGTCTCAGAAAACAAAAAAAGACATTTGCTTCTCTCCACCTCTGGTTACAAAATAAATGCTGACCACCTTGGAAACTACATGTGAGGAAAGATAATCCTGTCCCCTGTGGGTGACATTGCGGTGTGCGTTTATTTAGGAGTTAATTATGGGTGTCTCTTCTGAACCCACTAGGTGCTGGTACTACATGGTTTAAGTGCAAAACCACCCTCATAGTTTGGATTCTGCCATTATATTCTGAGGGAAACTGAGGAACAAGAGGGTAAGAGGGCTAAGGCAAGGATATGGCAAAGCTAGGGTGTGTGTGTATGTAAATGTCCCTCACTGAAGAAAATTTGGGACAGTCGTATATTCTATTTTATACCTGGTTTTCTTTTCGGTTGATTTATCAAGTAGCTGATTTGTCTAGCACCGTGGTAAACAGGTGTGGGCCATGGTCTCAGTATATATACAGTACATGTGTGCCTAGTAACATACTGGAATGAAATAGGTTAGATTTCCTCCCACAAATATATTAGATTTGTCAGGGTACAGGATGCAGTAGCACATGATTGTTCCAGCTCTAGGGAGGCTGAGGCAGGAGAATCACAAGTTCAAGCCCAGCCTGGGTAGTTTACCAACTTAGCAAGACCCCATCTCCAAAAGGGCTGGGATATAGCTCAGTGGTAGAATGCCCCTGAGTTAAATTGCTAGTCCTGAGGAAAAAATGTTTTTTCCAAATACATAAGAGAATCTATCTCTCCATTTTAAAGTTCATTTTTCCAGTAGTGGGGAATGAACCCAGGTCTTTGCACTGAGCTACATCCCCAGCCCCCCCCCCCTTTTTGAGTGAGGCTTTTGCTAAGTTGTCCAGGCTGGGCTCAAACTTGGGACCCTCCTGCCTCAGCCTCCCAGAGTGCTGTAATGACAGGTGGGCACCAACACCCTAGGCCATGCATCTCTAATTTTCATGCACCAACCCATAGGGTGAGGGAGCCTTTGTGAACCGAGTGCTTCTTGGTGCCACACCTTGCCTTCAAGGATGCTGTAACTTGACCTCTCATACTGGAGGGGCCTTTGATGTCTGAGGTCTGCGCAGAGGGTCTCCTGGACTTGTCCTTCGAGTGCTCCCCAATACAGCCTGGCCCACCTTGAGGCCATTATACTTGTCTGCAGAGTGGAAGGATGAGCTCTCCCCAAGTTCATCTGTCCGTTTAACAGCCCCCTCCTACTTTGTATATGGTGCCTTTTAATTAAACGACAGCGATTCAGTTTTTTCTAACTTTTTTTTTTTTTTGGTACCGGGGATCGAACTTTGGTCCTTGCGCTTATGCAGCAGGAGACGAAACCACTGGGCTAAATCCCCGGCCCATTTTTCTAACATTTTATTATGAACATTTTCAACATAGAAAAGGTGTAAGAATTATTCAGTGAGCCTCAAATGTGCCCACCATTTAGATTCCATGATTGTTAATGTTTTCCACATAACTGGATTTAAAAAATGTCGCCAAACAAAGTAAAGGAAAATTGACTGTTTAGGTCCCCTGCTTAAGAAAAACATTAACATTTCAGAGTCTGTGAAATGCAAACATCTGGAATTCAGTGATTTGCAGGATAAACTTGGATGTAGGAAAAAAAAAAGACATATGTGGGAAAATCCCTTTATTATAGCACTTATTTTTATCTCCAGTCATGCTGGGGGTGGAACCCAGGGCCTTTGCACTGAGCTACATCCCCAACCCTTTTATTTATTTATGTTTTTGGTACCAGGGATCGAACTTGGGTCCTTGTGCTTGTGGAGCAGGCGACAGAACCACTGAGCTAAATACCCCAGCCCCCTTTATTTTTATTTTGAGCCAGGGTCGCCCTGAGTTACTCAGGCTGGCCTTGGACTTGAACTCCTGCCTCAGCCTCTCAAGTATTTGAGATTACAGGTGTGCCTTGTTGTGCGGTAGGACCATCATCCAATCCCTTTCCTAGCTCCCCCCCCCCCCGCGTTAAGGAGTTCCTGGAGGGCATTTTCTATTTCCTATTTTAAAGATGCAGTTTAAATCCCACGAGGAATACGTGAATAGGGTCCCCTAAGAATTTTAAACGCCCAGAACAGCTTCAAATCCCCTTCCGACTCCTCATTTTACCACAGTGGATCCCCCCTCTCCCCGCAGACTCAATTGTCTGTCAGGGGGTTGCTATTTTTGAGGCATTTGCACACAAATGAATTTCTGAAAACCCAGGAGTATGGTGTGTGTGTGTGTTTGTCTCATAACGTGTCTCATCGAATGCAGAATTTTGAAGTATGCCAGTGCACTGTCCACCTCAGGTCCCTACCCAGCACCCTGCTAATGGGCTAGGAGACTTTGGCAAGTGGGGCACTCAGCGCTGAGTCGCATCCTGGAATTGTGCAAATGCTGGAGAGCAGAAAGCCTTGGTGGCTGCAGGGAAGATACACTTTGTTACTAGAAAACGTTAAAGCTCCGGGTTGACTCTCTGCCGGTGAAAGGGGAGTGTGCTCATGCCCCTGCCCGGCTCAGTATACACTAATAGCGGTGATGATGGCGAACCTTAGTTACACGCTGACTATACGAAGCCACGGAGTAGAACGCTCCCTGGATGCGGGGGGAGAGCGGTTCGAGACCTGTAATCGGAACTGGGGCGCTGAATTCCCCAATTTGCAAAGTGCCCCGATACCTTAGGGAATAGCGCCCAGGGCAGCCCAGTGCGCAAGGAAGGAAGGGAGAACTCAGCACTGGGAAACCCTCTTTATTCTCTGAAGCCTTCGCCCCCTTGCTGATCAGCCTTGGGGGGGGGGGGGGTTAAGCACTTGTTGCTTGACCCTGTATTCATCCAATTCTCCGGTCTCCTCCTTTGCAAAGTAGGTTGCTTTGGGGTGCTCTGTTTCCTAGCTCAGCATGTTGCAAGTTTGGGAACCCCGGCGTCCAATTTCCGGCCATGGGTCTCGAACTACTGGCCCGCACGTTCCGGGCCGGAGGATCTGATGTTGTGCAGGTTCTCACGTACTCAGCGGCCTGCTGATAGCCAGGGCGGGGCCTGGAGAGAGTAGACAGTGATTGGCATTTACTCCAGCCAGTTGGCGTCTCAGGTCAATCCCGCAAGCCAATACTCGCTTCCCTCAGTGCGGTCGTTTGGCGGCCCTCAAGGCACCCTTGTCAATCTGTGGCCCCGACGCTGTCCGGTTGGTCACTACCGCTTTACCTGGCGTGTGCTTCCACCAATGAGAGTGGAGCCGGTCAGCGGGCAAGTGAGTGGGCACCGGCGTGTCCCCTGACGGCTGGCCAATGAGAACGCGAGACTGACTCCTGTACCCGCCCAATCGGGGTGCGCGGTAGGCGGGCCGTGCGGTGTTGATGGGCCCGGTGGAGGGGAGGGGCGGAGCTGTCAGCCGCGACCAGTAGGCATGCGGGCGTGGGCTCGGGAGCCAATGGCAGCCGGGGCGGAGCTGGAGCACCGCCTCATATGCCCCTCCCCAGGGCGCTTGCGGAGGGCTCGGCCGCCAGCGACCGAGCGGGGTACCCTGCCCGGGCTGGGCCTTGGGGGTGCGACGCCGAGGGCGGGGGAGCGCGCGCCGCTGCTCCGGGACCGGGCCGCGCGCGCCGCTTCAGGTGAGCCAGCGGGGAAGCCGGCTGGCCGCGGACAGAGGAGCGCGGGCCCAGTCGCCCAGGCCGCCCCGCGCCGCGGCTCGGTGCTGCGGGCGCGCCCGGGACTCGAGGCCCAGGCCTCGGGCGCGGCCTGCTCGGGGCCCGGGGCCGTCGCGCTTTGTCCCGGCCGGCGACACGGGTGGTTGGGGGCGTTAACCGGTCTGCCGGGGGTGGGGGTGGCGCCGGTCGGTCCTGCGGACGGGGGGGGGGGTCGGGGGCCCGGCGGGCCGGACAAAGGCGGGGCGCGCCCAGGGCGGGGGCGGGGGCGGGGCGGGCACCCCTTCCCGGGCCGGGGGCGCACAAAGATGACAGCGTGGGTGGCCGGCCCGACCCTTCTGCTTTATGATGCAAAACAATCCTGATCACAATTTAAAAAAAAAATAAAAGAGAAAGAATGAAAAAAAAACGATCCCAGATCCTTGGTAACCCCTGCCTGCGTTTCTGGCCCTTTGGGCACTAGAGAGGCAGAGGGCATCCTCCAACACCCCCGAAACGTGTTCTCCCAGTGGTGCCCCCGAAATGCCCATCACTGCCGCTCCCCCAGTCACCCTGCTGTCCAGGCTTCCAAACTCCCCCCATGTCCCACAGCACCCTTCAATAAGCATGCAATTTAGATTTTTTTTTTAATTAAAAAAAATTTCCTGGCTGTGCACTGGCAGCTTCAAGATGCGCCCCACCCCCGCGTCCCTCCCACTTTCAACCCGGTCGCCATCACGGAGGAAGCCCCTTTACTATAGAGATGATCGGATCGTGCACTCGGTCCCGCCGTCCCCCTGGACGTCCCCGTGACGGCTGGGCACGGATTTCCTCTGAAATGTGCTGCCCTCGGGGCTTTGCCAGGGCCTGGGGGTGCTCAGTGGGTGCGATGACATCAGGCGGAATGGGGGGGTCCGTGTCACTGGGGAGCCGGGAAAGGTTTTCTGAGGGATTTTTTTTAGCAGAGGAGGTAGGGACTGCGTTTCAGTGTGTCCCATCTGTCAGGTTGGGGGAGGATGCTTTTGTTTTAATAATTGAGCAGCACCTGGGGAACTGTTTCCCCGAGTTGTGAAACTAGTGGGAAGGTGGCCGGGCTCTGTGGAGCCGGGCAATCCTATAATACATAAAGAGTGTCTTTTTTTCCCTGGGCCTCTGCCAATGGCATTGATTTAGCACATTACTTTGGGGGCCAGCGCTGTCCTAGGGTCTGAGGAGACTGGGTCTTGAAGGGTTTGGTGTGGTGCCCCGCTCCAAGTCCCAACAGCCATTTATCTGACTGTCCCCAACCTGGAGAAAGGTCCTGCAAGCAGCGCCTGCGCCTGCCCTGCCGTGGGCTCATTAGATGACTCCTCTGGGCTTTTATCACAGCCCTGCCAGAGTTAATGACTCCCCTAATTCTCCAATAATAGCTGCCTTAAGAGCCTTGGGAGACCGCGTCAAGGGCCTGGAGTGGTGAGCAGCCCCTCTCATCTTGGCCTTTATTTTACAAAAGCCCCCCAAAGGACAGAGTGTAAACGGCTAGAGTCAACTTTGGATGCTCTTCCTGAAGCGAGGGTTTCTGAAACTTGCAAATCTTGGCTGCTCCCAGTTGTGGGTTGCGGGAACATGGAGAGGGTCAGCTTGTCCCGGCTGAAGGAGGTTGTAGCCAGGGAGGCCAGGAGTGGTGGAGATTGGGTTGCACAGACACTGTAGGGTGGGCGGCGTTGTATCTGGAAGTGTGCACTGTGCTAGGCGCCGTGTGTGTGTGTGTGTGTGTGTGTGTGCATGTGTGTGTATGTGTGTGTCCACGTGCTGGCACCTGGAACATGTGCAACTCTTAGCAGCAATTGATTTTCTAACCCTTTCCACTGTGGGGAGGGGCTGCAAGGGAGGTATTAAACCCTAGAGGCTGAAAGTGTTGCTAATCAGTCAGTCTGTCACCCACTCTGCTCCTCAGTCCCCTCTGTGCCCCTCCATCTCGCCCTGTCTGGGCTTCGGTTCCTCCTCTGCTGCTTTCTGCTCCCATCCTGTGCCCCGCCCCTCCCCCTGCAGGGGCCCTGGGAGTCCCAGCCCGGGGGAGCCCATCTGTCCTCTGTGCCATCTGACACCTGGCAGGATTCACCTGGCTTGTGGAGGTTGGGTTTCCAGCCCTTAGGCAGGTTGGGAGGAGCCTTTCACTCCAGGGCTTGGGGTTCAGTGAGGTGCGGGTGGGGGGGTGCCCTGGGCTGAGGCAGAAGTTGTGATGGTGGAGTAGCTTAGGGAGTGGGTGGGAGGTGCCCTGCGTGGCCCCAAGTAATCACCAGGTGACTTCCTGGGATTGGAAATGCGACTGTGGGCTCAGTGCTGTGTGACCTTGGGCTAGTCCCCTGCTCTGGAGCCGGGGTGGGGGGCATTCAGCCCTTGCCAGTGCCCTGGGCAGGAGAGGTGGGCAGGGAGAGAACTGTGGGCAGGAGGCCTGTGCTGGTCACACCGTGACAGATGGCCGGCTCGCACACCAGCCAGGTCTAGCTCCTGGCTGGGTTCCAAAGACCTGCCACACAGCTGTCCATGGGCCCTCAGCCCTGTCCCACCCTAGGGGCCTCACTTTCGGCTGAGAACACTGGGCAGCGGAAGGCTGATTTGGGCCTGCTCTGCCCTGATGTTAGTGATGCCCATCCCTGGGTCCTGGCCCATGTCTGTGCCCCACAGTCTTGGGAACCTGAGAGACCTGGGGTCAGGTACCCTGCTAGGCAGGTATGTCACCTTCTGCCCATTTTCTGCATCTGTGAAGTGGGCTGGGCATTGGGAGCACGTGGTTCCCCCCTCCCCCATGGCTTTTTGCATGGGAGGCATGAGAGGTGCCAAAGAGTTTTGGGGGGTTCAGGGAGCCCTGAGCCCGGAGCTGATTACTCCACATCCGCCCTATGCCCAGTCTGGCCAGGTGTGCTCTGCGGGGCATCCTGGGCACTGTAGGATGCTGAGGGACGTCCCCAGCTTCCACCCACACCGTGCCAGCAGTACCCAGTCCTGACAGCCACACAGGTCCCCAGACGTGGGCCCCTGGGAGGACCTGGGACAAGGCCTTGAACTCCAGGGCTGCCTCTCCCTTGACACCGAGCTGCTCCCAGGCCACTCCCATCCAGGCCACGCCCACCCGGGTTGGGGTGTCCCTGGGCTGCCCTTGGCCTCTGAGCCCCAGCAGGTTCCCGCCCCCCTGGGCGCCTCCATCCCTCCCATCACCATCCCCCTTCCCGCCAATCCGGTGGACGGTGTGTTTTTAATGCGTTTTTTTTATTTTTTATTTTTTTGGTACCGTGGATTGAACTTGGGTCCTTGCGCTTGCGGAGCAGGCAGCGGAACCACTGAGCTAAATCCCCAGCCCTATGGTTTGTTTTTAAATTGGCTTAGGATGGCTCACTTCGGTCTCCACAGCCTCTTCCGGACGGTAATGTCCTAGGAGCGGGGGAACGTGGGCCGGGACGCAGGAGTGTCAGCTGCGGTGCTTTCAGGCACCCACATGCAAATGCATGGCGGGGCCAGTGGGGCCATGTCACTGGCTGAATTGGGCCCCCTGAAGTGGGGCTCCACTGGGGACGGCCCTTCCTGGCACACCCGCCCCTCTTACTACTTTGGTGAATTTTACACTTTGGGAGCACTGAGTTTTGAGTTTGTCCCTACTTGGCATGGGCTGTTCCAGGACCCTTATGCTGGTTGGATAAGGTGTCCCAGCCACTCGGGGGGCCACTCGACTCCTGTTGCCTCCACTGGCTCTGAAAAAATGGCCTTCCCTGTGGGGGTAGGGAGCATGTGGAAGAGCTCTACCTTTTGCTCCCTTTCGTGGCAACCTGAATAGAGACTATTAAAAGTTAAGAGGGGGGCTGGGGATTTAGCTCAGTGGTTCTGGCGCCTGCCTCGCAAGAGCAAGGTCCTGAGTTCGATCCCTGGTACCAAAAAAAAAGAAAAGTTAAGAGAAACAGCAACAAACAAACAAAGCATTCTGGCAGCGGGAACAGTGAGTGTGAAGGTCCTGAGGGCAGGCAGACAGGCAGGGGAGCGGAAGTGGTAGGGAAGGGAGTGAAGACTCAGCAAGGTGCAGCAGAGAGCCCGGAAGTTCTTTGAAGATCCACTGGTAGCAACAAAGCCCTGAGCGATCCCTATCCTGCCTGCTTCTGCTAAGGTGCAGCCACTTTCCCTGTCTCCTTGATTCTGCCCCAGGACCTTTGTACTTGGTGTTCAAGTTGCCACAGTGCTTTCCCCCCCCCCCCCACCCAGCAGGCTCCTTTTCATTTGGGTCTCAGCTCAATGAATCCTTTCTTCCCCTGACTCCCTTCCTGCAGTCAGTCTCCTGCTCTCCCTGTCCCATCCTGCTTTTTCTTCTTTGGCAGAAATGAGTATTCATCTCCTAACACTACCGGAGATGAGTATTAATCTCACTATGAATTTGTGGCCCATTTTGCCCCCTGGAACAGGGGGTTTTTCTGTAAGGGAGCAGACAGTAAGTATTCCCATCTCTGGAAAGCAAATAGTCTCTGTCCGGCCACCCCACCATGCCATCGTAGCAGGAAGGCCACAGTGGGTAGGAGCAAAATGAACGTGTGTGCCTGTGTTCCAATAAAACTTTATGTGCACACAGAAGAGTGCAGGGCAGAAATACAGTTTTTACATCATGAAATACTTTTCTTCTTTTGATTTTTTTCCCCCACCCTATGATTAAAAACTGTCAAAACCATTTTTAGGTCACAGATTGTACAAAAACAGGACACAGCAGGAGTGGCCCCTGCACCTGGAGTTTGCCAGCACTTGGGCCACAGCCTGAGGCTAATGTGATTGAAATGACATCTTTTGTTTGCTTGAGGCCGGATGCCTCTCTATATAGTTGACGCTGGCTTTGAACTTGCCAAGTTGCTCAGGCTGGGCTGGAACTTGGGATCTTCCTGCCTCAGCCTCTTAGTGCTGAGATCACAGGTGTGCACCATGCCCGCCTAGAAATGACATCTACCTTGGTGGCTGTATATAGGGCAACACACAGG